AAAATGGGAGCTGGGGTCCTCCACACATTCCCAGAGGAGCCTGAATCCAGGCTCCTTTCTTTCTTTTACTGTTGGGTGTCAAGGGGGGGGAAGGGGGGTATAAATTGGCTTTAAGGTTTAAAGGCGCTAAAGGGGTTTAAACTTTAAAAGGCCGTGCCTTAGTCCCACTCTGTTATATTCTCTTTTTTATCCTTGATTCAGTGAGGAATTCAGACGTGACCCTCACAAAAGTCGTTTGCATTGCAAATCTACACAGCATTTGTTTTGTTTTCCGGATTTTTTTTCCTAATGGAAGGCCCAAAATTCGGCGATTTTTGGCGAATTTTTCACCGAAACTGTCATATTTCCCTGAATTTTTACTCTTTTCTCAGTTTTTCTTTTTGCCTGTTATATATGTGCTTTAAGGTATATCTGTATTCAGTTTCACCGTATTTGAAGCAGTACCAAAAAACTTAGCAAAAACAGCAGACTCGAAAAAAGCTTTGGCGAACTCCGAAAGCTACTCCGAATAGGGATTTATAGTGCTCTTGAGTTTGATTTTTTCGTTTTTTTTTTGCTTGATTGTTTTTTTGATGTTTATATTATGACCCTGCATAGTTTGTGCGCAAAAGTTTCGACAACATTGCTTGTAGCGACGCGGCGAGACCTTCACACACAGGCAACAGTGTTCAACCGGCATGACCGCTTAACCCTCCCCCCCCCTCTCCGTCTTTGCTAATCTTCTCTGTATTGTTCCAATTTTACCTAGACGAGATACAAAGCTCAATCATTCGCACAGGACACTAACAACACTCTCCTCCAGGAGTTCACAGCTGATGGATTGCTGGTCCTCACCGATGCCTAGTAGAAGACCACATAGGACGACATGAACAAATCGAGCCACGTGAATGCCTAGTACAGCACCAGCTAGGTCACCAATGTCATGGCACTCCCTCCCGTATCCAGATTGAAGAACTGACGAGTACACTTTCCCATGCTTCAACAATTTGACACATGTGTAGGCACTGAACATCGCTGAAAGTGCAGAGCCATCCAACAACACACAAGGACAAACAGGCACAAACAGGGACCAGAACTAGCGTTAAAACCATGTGACGTAGTTTCCTTATCAAGGGCATTCAGTTCTGCTACCGAAATGCTACGCCACTCGCCCAAACATTTAAAGGGGGCATCTTTGGGCGCCCCAAAGCAATTCAAATTTCAAAGCTTGCCAAAACTTTTGTGCGCCGAACAAAACCATGACCAGATCCTGCAAAAAAAAGTGATGTTTTGCACACTTGATGTTCTGAAAAACTTTCTGAGCCGATCAAGTGGGAGACCGCAACTCGATCCAAGCAGCAACTTCACAGGAATCTGAAAATAAGTCAAAGATTCATTTTCCAAGGGCCCGGATTAAGAAGCTCACGAAGGAACCTCGCATGAACTCAAAGGGGGCATCTTTGGGCGCCCCAAAGCAATTCAAATTTCAAAGCTTGCCAAAACTTTTGTGCGCCGAACAAAACCATGACCAGATCCTGCAAAAAAAAGTGATGTTTTGCACACTTGATGTTCTGAAAAACTTTCTGAGCCGATCAAGTGGGAGACCGCAACTCGATCCAAGCAGCAATTTCACAGGAATCTGAAAATAAGTCAAAGATTCATTTGCCAAGGGCCCGGATTAAGAAGCTCACGAAGGAACCTCGCATGAACTCAAAGGGCTCACCTCAATGATAACAAACAACTTGAGACAGCAAGGAGTAACATGACAGTGTGGAGAAGAAGAGCAGGTGCAGAAGGAAGATATCTAAAAAATATAAACAATGCATACAATTTTGAGATTGCTTCTCCCCCTAGTTTTCCTTGGGATCTCCTTTTCCCCCCCAAGCATGGAGTCTCCTTCCTCCATCACAACCTCATTGCCCCTTAGAAGCTATGGTGACCTTCCCTCTCATAGCTTCTTCCTCAATCCTGACCTCGCTAACACCAGTGCCTGCTCTCTCTCAATAGCACAACTGCCAACCACATTACACCCTCCTTTGTATGGTGTCCGACAATCTCGAGTTCCCACCAGCAGAGGGAAAGAAACAGAAATCGGAACAAAAAGAACAGGTTGAAGTCGAACATACTAACAAGAGAAGAGGATCGGCGGCCGTTGTTTCGTTTCGGCCCCTCCTCAAAGACTGGAGGCCCATCCGAGGTCCCGAGGCCGCCCTATTTTCCCAACCGGCAGAGGTACTACCGTCTTCACCCAAATAGAACGCCCAGTCATTAGCACTGTTCCTAGACTAAAAGATGCACCAAATACAGCTACAAAGCCTACAACGACCGGTTGTTCTATTCGTGAAGACCGTAGTGGCTTAAGAAAGGGCGACGGCCTTGCGATATCATCATCATCGAACTGACCGGCCCTAGGTAGTTTTTTACTCATCTGCATCCCGTGGAGTTCAAACTCAGGTGTCTGTATTTCAACAGTTCAGGTGTGGTGTGTACCAACTGAGCTAGGCCCCCCAGTTGGTTACCCCTTCTTTTTTTTTTTAATTAATTGAATATCATATGGCCCGACGGACCACGGATCAGATATTAAACTGATCAGAACAGATGCAAAAAGGCCACAGCTCCCGTTTTACTGTGCCTCTCACGGACAAGGCTGACCACGTTGACTGTGGTTAAGCACCGGCTGCCCACATTCCCGTGTGCCTTACCGGCCCACTTGCAACGTTATGAAAAAAGGAGGCAGAGTAAAGGGGGAGCGAGGTATACTCCTGTTCATTTTTCTTCAGATGTTCAAACAACACCTCCAAAAGGCGCCTTTCACAGTTCTAGAGCTTGGCCATTGTGAGGGACACTTCTCACTACTGTCCCTCGTGTCCAAAGCAGTCTGCTTGCACATTTTTTTAGCCATCTTCGCAAGACGTGAGCCACTGCAATTACTGCACTAAGTCATGTGATCGGCTTCCAGAAGACGTTATATTGTTGCACACTGACAAAATTTCAGAGTTCAAACTCTGCAGTGACACTTCAAACTGCCGTGTTCTGCCGAACACAGCACACTCATTATGACTGCATCAGATCAGAAACACGGCTTGTATACATTCATGATCTGGGTGCATTGTCTTTCCCTTCTCTTCAAAGGTTTGACAGGCTTGAGATATCATCAGATAATCATCTTCAAGCCAACCCGCCCCAGGTATACACATCAGAGCAAGGCCCGTGGGTGATCTGGGTGTATTGACAGGCTTGAGATATCATCAGATAATCATCTTCAAGCCAACCCGCCCCAGGGCTTGAGATGTCTACCTGGGTTCGGATACTCATCAGAGTTGGTTGGGATTCGAACTGAGGTCTGTAATTCAACAGTTCATGCGTGTGCACCACCTGAGCAAGGCCCGTGGGTGATCTGGGTGTATTGCAGTTACAAGCGAAGGGGGGAGGGGAGAGGGGGG